CTTGGGAGGCTGAGACAGAAGGATCGCTTGAGCCCAGGAGTTTGAAGTTGCTGTGAGTTAGGCTGATGCCATGGCACTCTAGCTTGGGCAACAGAATGAGACTCTGTCTCAAAAAAAAAAAAGAAGAAAAAAGTAGCAGAACAGAAAGTGATACCAATGAATCCGTTGCTTGTTTACGTGGGGGCTGGAACAAATGATTTTTGAATGTGGGTACAGTAGGGAAGAAGATAAAAAGTAAAGACCCCTTCATCTCAACATATGGAAAGTAGTTGGAGGTTGTGTTGGAAAACACAGTAGTTAGTGAATGAGTGTCCTTAGGAGGCTTGGTTCTATACTAGGTGCTTGAGGGTGCATATTAAAAATAGACATGGTCTAGTGCAAGTTTGTGGATCCCATGATTTTTCAGAAGTCCCAGAAAAGCTGACAAAGTATTGTCTCGTGCATTGCGCGAGAATCATGCCGTTAAAAACCATTCATACCATCAACAGTCATACAGAATATTGGCTATTATTTTCTTCCTCAACAAATGTGGGAGATAGTTTGCCTCAGGCAAAATAGTATTTTACACATGGTTTCCCAAAAGCCCTGTGCATATTGAGAGCTCTTCTCAAAATGTTTGCATTTGTTCTTCCAAAAAGAAATTTGCATGACATTTTAGAATTGCATTCTGTCTAGAAAGCAAATCCTGGCTTTTCCTATTTAAATTCAAAGCTCTCCAATGTAAAATCTGCCAAGAAAATGTATGTTCCAAATTAGGTTCTTCCTAGAGCACAGCAGACTTTTTTTTTTTTTTTTTTTTTTTTTACCATTGAAATAGTTTTTGGGAAAAAATTCCTAACATCATGTTATCCTTTTTTCTTGGTTGAGAAAACCATTGATGGTGACTCAAGGATCTGTCTAGTCTTCTACTTACAGGAAATGAAGCCTGAACTCCACTTTGGTGGGACTGCCCAGAGACACAGATGTGTGCCGTTATTGGCTGGCCACTTGATGTCACAGTTGTTCCATATAAATGCCATTAATAGAGTATTTGACAGCAGTAGCATTCCCCCAAAACAAAACTTTAAATAGTAGTTGATAATCAGTGTAATAAAGATTGAATTATTTAGGTTGAATAAAAGAAGTTCTGATAAAATCTCTCAAATTCACCCTACAAATTGACCTCATTGGACATTGTCATCAATAAATGCCAATATCTCTTAGCTCTGTGCACTTTACCTTAAACACTGGTATTTGTAAGAGGAAATCATATCCTCAGCAGCCTCCTTTGAATAAATGTAAAAGTTTTTGTGTTAGCTGTTGTTCAGCCACCAGGATGGCTGCATAGTAGGACAAAAAGAGTTATACTGCCTAGTATCAGTTTGCAAGCCAGGAAGAGACAATCTAGGGGTAGGTGCTGAAAGGGCTCTCACTTTGAAGAGGGCAAGGACAAGGACAAAGACAAGGTTGGGTTTTATGCCTTGCGGGGCCTGTATCATATATATTAAGCAGGTTTTGGGGGAGAAACTAGAAGTATTTTTCAGGGAAGGTAAATGCATGCTGAGTGGGTAAACGTATACGTAACATACATTCTATGTTCACTTTGAGATGGGATTTTAACATTACAATGAGGTGGAATTTGGCCCTTTCAAAAGGTAAACTACAGAACACAAAGTCAGTTTGTGTGGAGCCTCTATAAACTGGCTGAAACTGGCTTAAGGTCTGAAATAGCTCATCAGAAAAGCATGGTTGTAAGACTAGCTCTCTGTCCAATCAAAGTAGCAGTGGTCCGAGTGGAAAATGAGACTGAGAGCTCTCATTGTTAGGGAGTTTAGGAAGGGTGTGGTTTTTCTTGTAGCTTAGGAGTTTAGAAATTTGACATAGCAGGGCTGTGAACCCTCTGCCTACACAGGTAACTTGGTTTCTTTAACCTTAGGTTCCATCTTAGTTGATAAGGAGGCATCTATTTTGTTTTTCCAGATCACATAGCTGTGCACATAGTTTTCATCAACATGCTACTATCCAGTTGAAATTGGAGATAGAGGGTCTAGGTAATATGTAGGGTAAACAAAAGCATCCTTTTGATACTGCAGTTGACCTGGTTGACTTAGTAGTTGTAGTTATTTCTACCCAAAGAGCTTAGGGTTCCTTTTGCTATGTGATTGAAGGTCAAGGAGAAAGTATTTTGCTTAGCCCTTTGACACTGAGGTGAATGAACACCTAAACTGTCGAGGACAAATAATTGTATTTGGATCCATTTCTGAAAATCTCCTATAGTTTTCCTCAAAAAGAAGCATCAGGCTTACAATCTCATGAGTTGCAACCATGATCCTCTGAATTTTTCCACTTTTGGGCCCAATTTCTCTTGTCCAGTTGTCTGTGAACTATTGCTCAGCATCCTTCCCTTTGAAACTGCAGCAAGTTAAAAAACCTTCTAGTTCTTGCTGGTTGTTTCTTTCATACTCTTCCTTACCAAGTACCTACCGTGACTCATCCTAACATGGCTAGACTCGAGCAGAAGTTGTGATCTGGGGCAGAGACCAACCGGAATAGCTCTCAGTGGGGGAAGAGCCAGTGGGATGGTTACCTCTTGTGGCAGGTTGTTGGAGTAATTCTCCTGCCTCCTCTAGCCATGCTCCTGTGGGCTCTGGATTTTCCTGTGTTACTTGCTTTGACCAATGGTACAATAGTTGACATGACTCAGACGCTGGAAAAATGTTTGTGCTATTGAGCTCTTCTCTCTCTTGTTGCTCTTTGGAACTCTGGGCTGCCATGTGCATAAGCCCAGGAGGGAGTATGAGAGACCTCATGGGGCAGAGACCAGGAGCCCCAGGTGTGAGGTCCCAACGCTGCAACCACCAGACATGTGAGTGATGCCATTTGGCCTCAGCCCATTGAACAGTCGCCTCAAAGGTCTGCCAAGCTGGCCCAGGGTAACTGCACCACCTGGCTGACCCACAGAATATCCGAAGAACCACCTTTTGGTTTTGTTGATCTCCATTATTTGTGTTATATAACCTAGTTCTTCGTTTATCTGTATTGTTTGCTTCCCTCTACTCTTTGGCGTCTTGTTTTTCTACCTTCTTGAACTGGATGCTCATCTCATTTACTTTCAGTCTTTTAAAGAAGCTGAGCGACCTTGCTTTCGAGGTGCATTACAAAGATTTGGTGGTGGATGGGATTTGAGGAGTGAAGGAGTTAGAGTGTCATGAATGACTCCCAAGTTTTGGGATGTGTTTAGATTGGCTTTTCCTTTGCTCTAAATATCCAAGATGGGTTGACCTCACGTGTGTCAGTTCAAGTTTAGCACAGGTCTTTTAAATTTCCACGTGGTATGACAGCTTTAGCTATCTGTCTATGATGTGGGCATAACCATAGTGCTGGCCTGATAGGATTTTTTGATAATTAAATGAGATAATATGTATAAAGCATTTGGCATGCATAGTAAGTGTTAGCTATAATAATAATTATTATTATTAGATGTAGTGCAGGTCCCAGAATGGAAATTTTCGTTGAAGACCATGGTTGGCCTGGCAGGGCTTCCTGCCAAATTGGAAATCGAAGGCTCAGTGTTGAATTCACTGAAATGCATCTCTAACTACCCCAGGCTTGTGAAACTCATCTGCTCTTGGTTCATTATGTTGTTTGTGTTTTATAGTTAAACCCTGTCCTCATCACATCCGTTATCTCCTGTCCATTTACATCACCGTGCAGTGGTTCACCGAGGTCTCTTTCTGTTCAGGCTGTGAGGAAATGGAAGGGTTCACAGAGTCAGTAATCACATGGCATTATGTGTGTATTTTGTGTTATTGCTTAATCTTTTTAAGAGTTAATTTCTCCTGAAAATTGTCCAAGTCATTTAAAACATGAAATGAATGCTTAAAAAAAAAAAAAGTAACTCATTTCAGTGGATGTGCTTTGGCCATCGCCCGTGTCCGTCCTATCCAATCAGGAACTGGGGGGTCCCTGGGGCAGAGGCAGGCTGTGGATCCCAGTCCTCCACACTGGTGGCACCTGCTGCTTTGTCCCAGGGCAGCTTTCTTGGCTCTTTGTTCTCGAATTCCATTTCCCTTCAATTCCATTCAGTTGTAACAAAGTCACTCTTCTTTCTATTGTAAGAAACTATTTCCCTTTTCCCTTTGGGGCCCTTTCGATCATTACAATTCTTTATTTTAACACATTGCACAAGCATGAGGTCTTGGATTTGTACACATCGTTGGTGCTTTTTTACTCACTCCTACAGTGCTTCCAACAGGGAGGCCCTTAATTCTCTTGGAGGTAGGTGGAAGGTTTGCCTCGCTTCGGGCCTGGTGACTGTGGCGGTCTGTTGGATGATGCTGGGTAATCTCTTGGTGCCCAACAAAGGAGCTCTAATGCTGATGGGAATGAGAGGCAAAGGAAGAGCCATCCAATGCCTCCCTCTGTCCTACAGTGTTGAAGCAGGGGGACAGTGCTACAGGAGGCAAACATGTGCCATCGGTATGGAGGAGGTCTGGGCAGTGCGGCAGGCATGCACTGTGTTACTGAAATCTTGCTGAGAGTAACGTATCACTGCACCCCACTTTGATTATTGCATCTTATTATTACTGGCCAAAAGAACACAGCTCAACTGTGCTGCTGATCTGTTCTAGAATTCCAGCTTGGTCTGTTGGTGCTTTATAGATCACAGAAAAGGTGGTTAGCTAGGGGGACATGTTCACTATGTAGCGTAGCTGAAGGCCTTCCTGGTCCCATGCCACTTTGGGTGCATGCTCTTCGTAGAGGTCCTACTTGCCTCAAGTAGGACCTCTCTCCTGGCACAACAAAGTTGAAATGCAGAAATACTCAAAGATTAATTTTATATCTTGCGGTCTAGGAACAGCAAACCAGTGATCAACCCATAAAAGAGGATACTTAACCATTAAAAAAACAAACCCAAACAAACCAAAAAACCATTTCTGTGCCTGAATATGGCTCCTGCCATTTTGAACTCGTGGAGCACGGGATTGAGTTTCTTTTCCTGGTTTTGCAAATTTCCTCACCTTTTGCTGCTCCCTTGATAGAAACTATAAATCGTCTTAAATTAAATAAGGTGGCTGATTTCCTTCCATTTCTAAAAAAAAAAAAAAAATTTAGGTTCTGCACTCTACCATTTAAAGGTGCTCGGCGTGTCACTCACACAAAGCCTTCTGAGTTGAATGGGAGCTACTAAGGACTCTGTTTTTGAACGTTGAAGATCGTGCGTGTCCTATCATAACAGTAACTGCTGCCGCTAAAGTAATTTCAAGATGACATAGTTACCTTTCCGTCTCAGGTGCCACAAATACAAGAGCCTTATTCTCCAAGTGCTGTAAGGAAAAACCGTGATTATGGTTTCTTCCACGGCTGTCTCGGTTTAGAACCTGAAATTCTTTAAAAGCACCTTCCAGATTTGAGCGGCGGAGGGGAAATTCCATCTGGGCAGATCTGTGCAGGCTCTGGGAGTGGCGGTAATGGGGAAGGGGGGGCTGGGAGCAGCGATTCTTACAGTTGGAAGAAATAACTACTTAAAGCAAATGCTAATGATTTAAAATGTTATTCCTTCTGTGCTTTTAGAAAAAAAAATAAAATTAAAGTAATAAAGGCTCACAGCCTGTACCTCATCTCCAGTCACTCTGCTGAAATTCCCAAGGGGGTCCTGGCTCCCCAATCCTCCCCTTAAAAATGGTGGACCTGGAACCACTTACGGGAGAGGTTTAATAAGAGGCAAATGTGTTTTATATTTTGTATCTTGTTAAGTGAAAAAAGATGGATTCTTGCAAGTAGTCTCCTGGTGCAGATTGGAGTGGTCTGCGCACGCAATCGCCGGGATGCTTCGCCAGCTCGCATCTCTGTTCTGCTCCCCCATGGCTACTTAAAGTCTCCTCCCCGCACCCCGCTCCCATGCCAGCCCCCCACCCCAGAGCCAGCAGAGATGAAATTGTTTCATTTGTAGAATGGATCTGCAGATCCAGGAAACTTGTTTCTATCTGATTTGCTGATAATTTACTCCTCATTTGATTCAGGAGGGAGGGGGGAAAAAGAGAGAGGTGGGGAAAGAAAGAAAGAAAAACAAAAAAACCTGTCTCAGCTTGCATAGTCCTCCCTCAAGGAAAGAGGGATTGCTGTGCAGATTGGAGAAAATCATGACGGAAAGCAACTGAAAAAAAATTAATAAAGATTTATGCAAAGGTTGCACATGTATTAGAGGAAAACCAGGGAAACCATTGCACCTGTGATGAAGTGGCCAAAAAAAAAAAAATGTATCTTTAAGTAGCTCATTGGAAACTGGGTAAGGGAGAATGATTTTTTTTTTTTAAAAAATGTATTTTATCTTAGATATATAATTTTACAATGAGGCGCATTCCCTTTCTGGCAGTTCTTTTTTTATGACCTTTGGGTGCCAGATAGCGCCGTTCCTGCTGTCTGCTTTCACTATTCAGTGTTAAGGAAGCCCATTATATCTGTCTTTGATCCGGAGATCGGGATTGCTAAAACTGATGGCCACAATTAAAGGCAGTCCTGTTGAAAACCTGACCTCTGTCTGCTCTCAACTGCATGTAAACTTTTCAATATGGATGTAATTTGGTATTAAATTACCCATGCTTTATTGCTTTTTAGCACAGCCCTGTCTGTTGCCTTTTAAAGATAAAGGTAACATAAAAGAAAAATTGTGGTGTGTCTGCATAATTATGTAATTATAAACTTGTTTTCCTACATTCAGAAAACCCTTTGTGCATATGTGCATCTATGGAAAACTAACAGGCTGGTAGGATTGGAGAAGAAGCCGTTCGATGTATTTTTTTTTTCACTCCTGATCTGGTCAACTTAGACATACGCTGTACAAGATAGGTCAGTGTATTTAACGGCTCTAATCTTGGCTTTCAGAAGGTATCTTTGATTTAGAAGTGGGGCAGGTCTGTAAAAGATGTTGCTGTGTTTGTTCTTTAGAATTGGCTGAATTAGAATGGAGTTATGGCCAAGGTTATGAGGCAAAAGCCTTACCTGTTCCTCCAAAGATTGGGCCCATCGTAGCAACAAGGTAATATTGCCGATGTCCAGAAGGAGCTCTTGGATTGTTTAAACCTTACCGTGCTCGAAAGTAGAAATGATGGCTGTGATTTTCACTTCTGACACTCTTGTTTCTGCGGAGGGGAATGAAGAGGAAACTGGGAAGAATGCAGAAGATTCCCTTTGACATTCCAGAACTACTTGTGTCGCTCGGTTCTGCTGGTCATTGTCCTGCTTTCTTGGCCTTGAAGAGCATAAGCTATCAGTAGAGTTCCGTACAGGTTTGTAGAGCGGCATTTGATAAACACAGACAGCATATCTGTTTGGAGGGATAGTTCACAGTCCCCTTCATAAAATTGGGAGGAAGAAACCCTCTCGGGCCTCTGGAAATGTGAAATAATTTTTTGGTGTAAATGGAAATTTCTGAGCTTGCCTCCTCTTGTTAAATACTCCATGGCAACACTTCATGGTAGAACCGCATGAAAAGCCAAGCAGATAAAAAGCTGGTATCAAAACATACAACCCAAGGGGAAGCCCAACAGGCTGCTCTAGGTACCTTAAAACATAAGAAGGCAAAGATTTCAAGCTAGGGGGAGGCCAGTCCATCTCGCCTTCCTTGCTGGAACCGCCATTGAGTTAAGTGTTTGGTCTGCGGCTCCCCCGGCCTGATCCTCCAAGCACACTAAAGAATGGCAGCCTGACCCGGGTTGTAATTCATCTGGTTGCTCTATAACAATTGCATCCTGTGGAAAACATATGCCACGTACACTTTTATTGGCTCTCATGCAAAGAGGCAATTCCAGAATATCAAGGAAATGTTGAAAATAGATTTCGTGCTAGACTGAATCCAACTCCCCCCCCAACCCCCGGCAAGCATAACTTTGGGGACTGAAACCAAAGAGAAGGAACGTTTTGTCAAGCTACTGTTTGAATAGGGCCCACCCTTGTTCTTCCTCTGTTGGATCATCTTTTCTCTGATGTTGCTAGTAGCAATGGTAAGATGGCGTGTGCATTAGATACCTTTGGGGTTAAGGGTTAGAGGACAGGGCTAGATCTGAGCTGTCCAAGATAGTTGGCATTAGCCCCATGTGGCTATTGATATTTAAATGAATTAAAAGTATATTAAACTTTAAATCCATCAGTCATACCTCCTACGTTGCAAGTGATTAATAACCACATGGGGCTAGTGGCTATCATCTTAGGCAGTGCAAGTTTGGGACATTTCCATCATTGCAGAAAATGCTATTAGGTAGCCCTGAGTTAGTTAAACCTGGAGTCTCAGCTCTATTCTCACCTTGGCCAAGGCACTGCACCTTAATTTTATTCATCTGTGAAATGGAAATAATAAAAGTAATATCTACTTCTTTTGTTGCATTAATTAAATGAGGTAATGAAGAGCATTTAGTAGAATGCATGCAATACCGCTGTCCAGTAGAAGTTTCCATAGTGTTGAAAGTGTTTTGTATCTCCGTTGTCCAATATCATTGTCATTGGCTGGATGTGACTTTTGAGCCCTTGACATGTGTCTGATGTAATTGAGAAACTAAAGTTCTAATTCTGTTTACTTTTACTTAAATAAAAATAAAATTTAAATACCCACATGGGGCTGGTGGCTGCTGTCCTGGACAGTTACAGGTTCAGAGCAAAGCAGTTGCTCAGTAAACATTAGCTTTTATTTTTATTGGCTCTTCCACTGCTCTGCCCCAAAAGTGAATGATGCAACATCACAGGGTTGTTTTGAGGTTTATATGAGAGAATGTTCACAAAACCACTAAATATTATTAGTTAATATTTTGTTATGCATTAAATTTATTTGGAAATATAAGGCTTATGGAAAAACAGAAAAGTTATAAATAGGAAACAACAAGGCATTATGAAATCATAAGGGACAAAATAGAACAATATTTTTTTGGTTTAAATGCTTCAGTAAGTTGGAATTCTGTGAAAAGTATTAGTTCAGAAGACTAGTGAGAGGGTGATTATTTCTTTTGTCCCTTTAATTTTATGTGTTGACATTAATACCCAGGCCAAATTGGATGTTTTAAAAATAGCCATTGGGTTAGCTGAGTTACTTTCTGTTATTCGATACTTTAATCTGGGAGTATTATTGCTTATTTTTGTCTATAGCCACAAGTTTTGGGGGAAAAAACAGAATCCTCTCTTTCTAAATCATCTCCTTGAAGCTGTGTGATGGTGGAAGAGAGTCTCTGTGGTGCTAAAATAAAGGGTTTTTGCCAAATCTGCAAAATAAGTAGAACTGCTTTTGATGTTGTTACTTGCAGAATTAGTTTGGAGCAGCTTCTTTAAAATTCCACTTCGCGTTTGACTGTACACTCTCTTGTGTTGTTTTGTGTGAGTTTGTTCTGCTTTTCCAATTAAATCATAAGCTTCTTGCAGACAAAGCCCAGGGTTGTATCCTCACCCCACAGCCAACACAATGCTGGTAGGTAGGTATTCTATAAATACTTGTTGACTTACTATGGATTTTTCTGTCTTGCCTTTTTTTGAAAATAACACCAGATTTTATTATGCAGTTGTGATACTTGTGAATACACGTAAGGCCCTCTGTGACAATGAGCAATGATTCTGCATTTATTTACACTCTCAAAACCTCTGGTGATTTTGCTGCTGTATCCTAAGGACTTTGACAGCTGTGGAACCCTGAGTTTAGAAAAATCAGATTACTCAGGACGTCAGCATTGCCGGTAACAGCTCTTTAAAGATAGTCACTTCTTTTACTGGTATACTTTTTAATCTTAGAGAAACTATTCCATTTTATCCTGAAACATTTGGTAAAAATTAGTGCCTATTTAAAAAAAATCATTATCAATGAAAATTAAGTATGTAAGAGAGGCTGCAGTTTTGGATAACTTTAAAGATCCACTTTTGAAAAAAGATCTGAGAATAATTTAGCTCCTCCTCTTAAAGTATTCCGCCGAATATCTTGATCCATATCCATTTTAGCACTTCTTTTCTTAAAAAAAGTGTTTTTGGAAATTCACCAGAAAAGCCAATTGTAAGACAAGTGTGCCTACTCAAATAGATTTGACCTGAACTTAGAATTTTAGAGTTGAAAGGAACCTTCGAGCTCAAATGGTCTGGTACTACAGAGGTTAATTAACTGACTCACAATTACACACAGCCAAGATCAGGTCCAATTCCACTCTGAAGGGCCCACTTTACTTGCCAGTGTAGACGCAAGATGTGAGTCACTTAACATAAAAATGCATCCTGAGCTCCGTGCTAGTTTAACCCCAATTGTTACAATTGTGCTACCTTGTGGGCCCTCTGCTACATTTTTATTAATCCCTAACTCCTCATTGAGATTACTTTATTTAAATGTCATCACCCAGCTCTAAAATATGCTTTCAAAATAACCGTGGTGGCCATGGGATACAAAGTATTGGGAGGAAAAAAAGGAAGCAGTAGAAGCCAACTTCTGTTTGATATGTAGACACGTTTGAGTCCACTGGGACCCTGGTGGTGGGATTGAGTCAGGCTTTATACAACCAAGCCTGGACATCCCAGCTGTGCACAGCATTCAGAGGGGGACTGCCATCACCACTGGCAGGGTTGTGCCTTGGAGGCATTTGGGTCATTGGTAGAGTAGGATCAGAGGAAAGGTATAAAAAAGTGAGATGAAGCAAAGGGGTCTATAAACTAAAGTCTTATGATGCAAGGTGGGGTGGGGGAGGCTCCTGGCATTAGACAGAGAGAAGATCAGAGTCAGCTAATAAGTTTGGGGTGCTGGTGACTGAAACCAGATCACTGGTGCCTGCCAGCTGGAGAGGGGTGTTATCCCAGGTGGACGGCGACCTGGTCAGCTCTATTCCAGTGTGTGCCTTAGTATTCATGCCTCTCCACTCCTGTTCACTTTTTTCAGTGCTTTGTCAAAAGACAGTGACGGGTCGGCCTTTTCTCTCCCATGCTGCTACGGGTAAAGGCAGACAGTGATGGTGCCAGCCTTAATTCCCCAAAGAAAAGGAGGTCCGGATGTATGTGAATACCTTTAGTTCTGAAACAAGAAAAGATGAAACAGGTTGCATTCATGTATTCATGAAGCAGGCTGCATGTGTACCGGCGAATTCTGTACAAATTCGTGCATTGTTCCAACCCTCTTATTTCTGAAGACCCTGCGCTCATTTCCCCTCAATCACATAAAAGCCATTTTAGCACAACTGATTTTTTTTTTTCAGATTTAAAACTAGGTATCCGCAGTTCAAAAACGCCCATTGTGTGTGTGTGTTTGTGTTAAAAAAGTTGATTAGAAGATCAGTGTGACTCCACTGAGACCAAAAGTTTTTTTTTTTTTCTTTTTTGTTCTGGTTTATGAGATTTTTCTATCAGTAAAACTAAAGGACATCTTCCAGCCAGGAGAATGGTGGTCACGGGTCACCATTTTGACATCTTGATAAAGGTGGTGAGCTGCAGCGAGCAGCCAGTTTTTCTTTCTCAGTTTGTTTCACTTGTCTTGCCTTTCCATGGAGAGGTGTCCTGGCTTAGATAGCTGGAATGATAACTTTTATGAGGACTAGGGAAAAACCTGGGTCTAGAACAGAGGTCCTCAAAGGTTTGTACATCCATAAATCCCTCAAGGGACTTGTTAAAAAAAGAAAAAAAGCAACGGATTGTGATGCAGTAGGTCTGCAGTGCAGCCCAGGAATCTAATTTATACCTGTAGCCCAAGTGATCCTGACCTGTGGCCACATTTGGGGTCTAGAAAAGGTGTGTAAACCACTGCCTCTGGGCCAAATCTTGCCCATTGCCTGTTTTTGTAAATAAAGTTTTATTTAAACATCCTCCTTTGTTTTTGTGTCATCTTTGCCTACTCTTGCCCTACTCTGGTAAGACGATAGATTGTGGACGCTTTCTCGCAATACGTCTACCCACGTGGGCGACCACACTCGGCCATGAACTCGTTCTACCAACACTACTTTACTATCCTTGCACCTTACTACCGGACAAATCTGTTGATCCCCTCCCCCCGTCTCACAAACAGAAGATTCTTTTTAACTTGTCTGATGTACGGTCACACATGATCTCGCTCGCCCATGTCATCCACCCCACCACTCATCTCGTATGTGTACTATCCGCTATGTATACCCTGCTGCGTGCATGATAATATACTCATATAATACCCATCACTTACTAATATATATACTATCACATATATAATAAATAAATGTCCAAGGCTGCTCTATTACCTGTTAGACTTGTGACCATGGTCACATTACTTAAGCTCTGTAAGCCTCAGTCTCCTAATCTGTTGA